GTGAATTACATTTTGATTTAAAGCTTTCGTGACTGCAGTAATTCATATTCTTAGCTCTTTCGGTAAAGTCACGTCGAAGGGAAAACAATAAAATAAGAAAATATATAATAAACCGACCATATATTTTATTATTTCATTGTTTCCCTTCAACGTGACTTTACCGAAAGAGCTAAGAATATCAGTGAATTACAGTGAGGGAAAAAAAGTACTTGATCCCCTGCTGATTTTGTACGTTTGCCCACTGACAAATGATCAGTCTATAATTTTAATGGTAGGTTTATTTGAACAGTGAGAGACAGAATAACAACAAAATCCAGAAAAACGCATGTCAAAAATGTTATGAATTGATTTGCATTTTAGTGAGGGAAATAAGTATTTGACCCCTCTGCAAAACATGACTTAGTACTTGGTGGCCAAACCCTTGTTGGCAATCACAGAGGTCAGACGTTTCTTGTAGTTGGCTACCAGCTTTGCACACATCTCAGGAGGGATTTTGTCCCACTCCTCTTTGCAGATCTTCTCCAAGTCATTAAGGTTTCGAGGCTGATGTTTGGAAACTCTAACCTTCAGCTCCCTCCAGATTTTCTATGGGATTAAGGTCTGGAGACTGGCTAGGCCACTCCAGGACCTTAATGTGCTTCTTCTTGAGCCACTCCTTTGTTGCCTTGGCCGTGTGTTTTGGGTCATTGTCATGCTGGAATACCCATCCACGACCCATTTTCAATGCCCTGGCTGAGGGAAGGAGGTTCTCACCCAAGATTTGAAGGTACATGGCCCCATCCATCGTCCCTTTGATGCGGTGAAGTTGTCCTGTCCCCTTAGCAGAAAAACACCCCCAAAGCATAATGTTTCCACCTCCATGTTTGACGGTGGGGATGGTGTTCTTGGGATCATAGGCAGCATTCCTCCTCCTCCAAACACGGCGAGTTGAGTTGATGCCAAAGAGCTCCATTTTGGTCTCATCTGACCACAACACTTTCACCCAGTTGTCCTCTGAATCATTCAGATGTTCATTGGAAAACTTCAGACGGGCATGTATATGTGCTTTCTTGAGCAGGGGGACCTTGCGGGCGCTGCAGGATTTCAGTCTTTCACGGCGTAGTGTGTTACCAATTATTTTCTTGGTGACTATGGTCGCAGCTACCTTGAGATCATTGACAAGATCCTCCCGTGTAGTTCTGGGCTGATTCCTCACCGTTCTCTTGATCATTGCAACTCCATGAGGTGTGATCTTGCATGGAGCCCCAGGCCGAGCGAGATTGGCAGTTATTTTGTGTTTCTTCCATTTGCAAATAATCGCACCAACTGTTGTCACCTTCTCACCAAGCTGCTTGGCAATGGTCTTGTTGCCCATTCCAGCCTTGTGTAGGTCTACAATCTTGTCCCTGACATCCTTGGAGAGCTCTTTGGTCTTGGCCATGGTGGAGAGTTTGGAATCTGATTGATTGATTGCTTCTGTGGACAGGTGTCTTTTATACAGATAACAAGCTGAGATTAGGAGCACTCCCTTTAAGAGTGTGCTCCTAATCTCAGCTCGTTACCTGTATAAAATACACCTGGGAGCCAGATATATTTCTGATTGAGAGGGGGTCAAATACTTATTTCCCTCATTAAAATGCAAATCAATTTATAACATATTTGACATGTGTTTTTTCCGGATTTTGTTATCATTCTGTCTCTCACTGCTTAAATAAACCTTCCGTTAAAATTATAGACTGATCATTTCTTTGTCAGTGGGCAAACGTACAAAATCAGCAGGGGATCAAATACTTTTTTCCCTCACTGTATGAAGAGGCCATGGGTACCCCTTTCGCACCTGGCAGAGGACCAGTGTGGTGAAGTTTGATCAAACAATCTCCCATGGCTGACAAGGTCTGAGGAAGCCTTCATCCATCAATGGATTAACAGCCCTTTGTCATTGCTTCGTGCGTTAGTGCATTGTCAAAAGGGCTGTTAATTATTGTCATCAACTTTGTACATCTGACATTGTTCAATTATGAATTATACAACTCAAAGTTGGTTTAATATTAAGAATGTAAATTGTTAATATCAGTTATATTACAATACTAACGTAGTAACATTATTCTTGATTTCCTTCGGTGCCACATCAGCCCATTTTCAAGGTTGCTGAAACTCGCTTTTGGTTTTGCTATCAGGAGTGCGGTGTACCTGCGTTGGTTACAAAGAGGCATTGCGCTGCCTAATGTACACGGCAGTGCTGGGTGGGTTTTTTCCATGTTTGTTTTAACACAATGGCAGTTGAACCCCATATTCATGGTAATAAACACTTGGAGACAGTTGCTATGGTTATATTTGCAATGAAACTGCTATGAAGAATACAATTTTCAAGTGCTTATTTTTATATACGTGTGCGCACACGTACACGCTTGATCGTATGCTCTGTTCTCAAGCATGACAATCGTGGCTTACCAATCAAACCCGTTCTCTCCTTTCCTATTCGTATAACCTTGTTTTTTAATAGTGGGGCAATTTTACCGACTGATTTTTTAAAATCTCATTTGAACTATTGTGTTTGTTTTGTACGATATCAACCACTTAGAATTTTCGAGCTTAGCAATTATGACATGTAAAACACCGAATTGGATTTGTCAAAACATTGCTAATTTGCGACAATTGGATTGAATATTGTTCTGTAAAAATCGAACCCTGCTGTTGCTGCTAAATTATAACAAAACGCATGCTAATAAACCTGAACAACTAAAAGGTGTGCATATTTAATTGTCCTTAACAACTGAATAAGATGTATAGGTAACAGAAATATAGGGTGGCGGTCTTGGACAGCGTGCTCGGCCATTGGTCCCAACCGTTGTGGAAGTGAGGGGACCCCTCAGGCAACATCCCCCCCCCCCCCCACTTGCATGGACCCCGACCACTGTGCATGCCCCCTCTGCAATACCACGCCCCCTCTGCAATACCACGCGCCCTCTGCAATACCACACACCCCCTGCAATACCACGCACTCTACAATTACCATGCCCCCTCTGCAAATACCACGCCCCCTCTGCAATACCACGCCCCCTCTGCAATACCACGCCCCCTCTGCAATACCACGCCCCCTCTGCAATTACCACGCCCCCTCTGCAATACCACGCCCCCTCTGCAATTACCACGCCCCCTCTGCAAACAGCCTCCTCATAACAGAATGCAATTTGGCTTTGCCGTCAGTTGACATCAGGAGGTTGGTCAAGTTATGGGTGCGGCCGGTGTGTGGATCATGCGAAGAAGACAACTCCATGTTCGCCTTTTGGCGTCCTCTGGTCGAGCACTGTTTGAGACTAGGCTTTAAAGAAAGCTGTCTCTGGTATGGACCAAAGACAATGCATATACTACCAGAGCATGTTTTTTATTTGCATGTTCACCACAAGTATATGTGGGTAATGCAGACATGATTTCCTACAAAAGGTTTCATTTTGGTGTTTTAACATCTTCACACATGTTTTATTGCCAGAAAGGGTAAAACCTATTCTTACAACTCCCATTTCCCTTGTGGATCACAGACCTCTTTGCACTTTTGCATATTCCCCATGGACCCCCTTTTACAACTGGGCGGACCCTCTAAATGATGTCTTAGGGGATCTGCGGCCCTCGGGTTGAGAACCCCCCCCCCCCAGCCCATTCTCCGGGCTGCCGGAGGGCCCTGCACTTGTGCATCTTTAAGGGTTAATGAGCTCGGGAGGACACACGCGGTGGACAAGCGCGCCCGGCGGTCGCCACGATTGGCGCGCTCATCCGCCGACGCTCACGCGGCTCTGGGATCGGGCGCCCGCCCGCCCCACTGACAGTGATGGATTACCGCTCGAGTACGACATATGTCGCCGAGCGTTTGTCCGAACGTAGGATTACGTTTATTACCGATGCCTCGTCAGCACCAGCCGCCGCCGGGGGAAGTGTAGCGTGGCGTGAGTGAGGTTCGCTCCGCGACGTCCCTCTCAAAGCTTCTCGCTGGCATGTGGAAATCTGCACGCTCTGCACATTCGTGTGTGGGCGCCCGCTTTCTGCCGTGGGAGGCTGAAGTCTTATTGCATCCCCACTTATGCATCTTTTAAGAAAATGTTTATTTTGTCTGTCCTTGCATTGTAATGCCGTGTATGCCATGAATATGGCCTGTTTGCTTATTTTCAAGTGATATGTTTGTCTTGGAATGTGTTTGCTTGCTTGGTTCGTTGCTCGCATCGCTAATTTGCAGAGTTGATGGTATTATGTATGCACTGTGGTCGTTCAACGTTTAATGTTGCATTTGCTGGACCACGTACATGTCATGTTCAGGTAATATTGTTATGAGGTTTATATAGAAGTACTATAATGATAGTACACGTTGAAAGGGGACGTTGTCGCACAGCGAGTGAGATTTCTAGCCATGGCTAACATCAGTGGAAATGTATTTATTACCGATGTTGCCTTCTCGTATCGCCTCACCAACCCACCCAGTGTGGTGAAGTATTATTAAACAGCCCTCGCAACTTACCATGGCATCACGAGGCCTTCCTCCGGTGCTAAATTGACATAGGCTTAAAATGACTATCTTACACATGACAAACCAAGATTTGAGCAGGCTATACAGCATTTGACAGTTTTTTTTTTAATTGGCAAATGTCCCTTACAAAATAAGCATACATTCCATCCATTCCTGGGTTTTCCCTCGACTAATTTTACTTGAATACCTTGTAGTTAATTGTGCTACATCGTTTTTAACGGAAATCACAATAAAATCAACTTGTATTCACCACAAATGTAACCTTAAGGACGCAGTATTGTCCTGTTGGAAAGTGTTTTAAAACATGGCGTGGTTAAAACAAGCGCGTGACACATACCTAAACCTGACAGTGACAACACCGTTGTTCACATTCCACCCCCGTCTCCCTCCCTCGCTCTGGGATTTATGTTATTCTTTGTTAAAAGTGTGCCGTCGCCCCGATCTAAGAGGTGGTTCTAACAGAGGCCGTCTCTCTGCTCGTCCCTCCCGCCTCTTCCCACCGCAGGTGTACGCACCCTCGGTCGCAGCAGACGAGTTCAACCGCGAGTCGCCCAGCTACTCGGCCAAACCGCCTGGCAGTATGTTCTCCAGCCCCTACTTCATGCAAGGTGAGTACATGGGACGCTGCTGTTGGGTCCGTTGACACCTGTCCCCTTGCAGCTGCCGCTTACGTTGGCTAGCTCGGTTAGGTTTGAAGGGTCTCTGTGTATAAGACAAAGAACCCCCCCCCCCTATACAGCCTTAACGGATTGTTTGGAGCAAGTGCTGCTCACAAGCACCTTTGAAGGCCGGCATGATACGCGAGGGGATGGGTGGGTGGCCAGCACCACGCCCATCCACTTTTGTCTCCCCAGTGGCGATGCATACACACAGCACAAAGGTACTCATTTGAGGCTGAGTCGACGAGAATTTCATCATGAGGACCATCACACTCACAAATTTGAGTTTACACAATCATTGTTGAGAAAACACATTTTCAATGGAAAAAGTTGTGTCACTGGAAGGAAGGCAGCATAAAATAAATTGACCAAACTGATGAGAAAATGGTCAGTTAGAAACCACAACTGATTGTCCTTGACACAGTTTGCTCTCTCCTTTTATCTTGCTTGATATACTTTACACAATTTATAATATGTGTTTGTATATGGATGCGTGGAGTACATTTCATATATATTTCATTTGTGATCTCAATTGGACTTGCATTAGGTTTTTTATATTGCATTTCCTCTATGTTAAAACGATTCAGAGAATCCATGTTCTTTGGGTCTTTCGGTAAAGTCACGTGGATAGGTTCAATGAAAATAACAAAAAACAAGTTACATTCATAACTACATATGCAACATAATGTATGTTCTTCGAAGTGGAGAAAAGAACATGTTTAATTGCTGGCCATACACACAAGTAGCATTTGATATCAGATACCTGGCACTTGCCTCTTGGGTGACTTGGCCTTAAATGAGCACTTGCTGTGGTGTGTCAAGCACAAAACACTCGGGAGACAGCGTTGACTCCTCAAATATACTGGCCTCCCCCTTCCCCACCCCCACTCATGTGCCAGGCCACACTTTAATAGAGGCTCGCTAACAAAATTTGCAGTTATTTTTTCTCCAAAAGAACAACCACATTTTCTCCGGTATGCCACACTGCATGCTGTTTATGAATGCGGTGTGCATGCGTGTGTTTATACAACGTACACTGTAGGTGGGGAGCCAGTAGTGCAGCGGTTACCGCACTACGAACCCGGCGACCCGAGTTAAATTCCCACTCACGGTCACCAACACCAGTGACGATTATCTGAATTGGTCCTGGGCCCCCTATAGGTCGACTCAGCCTCAAATGAGTACCGGGTGCGATGTGTAAACATCGCCACTGGGGCGACGAAGGCAGCCAGGCGTTGTTGCTGGCCACCCACCCACCCGCTGGTGAGCTGTGCCGGCCTTCATAGGTGCTTGCTCACAGCACTTCCCCCAACAGTCTGTGAACGCTATACGGGGGGGATCTTTTTCTCTGTTTGACTGTACTCAAGCTGCCGCCGTGCGTCTTGTCGGGGTGCAAGCGTGCAGGTCGCATGCGCTATGAGTGGTGCCTCCTTCCTCACCCCTCCTGCCCACCACCGTTTTTTTTTCTCTCTTTTTTTGGGCAGATGCTGCGCACGGCTCTTCGGACCTCTGGAGTTCATCCAATGGCATGAGTCAGCAGGGTTACAGCAGCATGCTGGGAGCATCGGCTGGTCACATGACGCAGCCAGGAGGCTACAGCAGCCTGCATCCGCATCCACATCCACATGAGCGCTTGGTACAGTTGTGCACCACCCCTGCCATTGTTTTTTCCTCGTCCTTGCTTTGTCTGCGCATGTCACCCTATGAATTGGACGCTTTATTTATTTATTCGGTTGGTTGTGTTCCCAATGCCCATAACCAACTATGCTAAACATAGAGCACACAGAGTCAGCCAGTTTTACTGTCTCCGTGGTGGTAGACGTGGATTAACAATGCAGGGTCTTGAAATATTAAACATGGGCATACAATGCTGCCTTGTGCACTCGGTATATATAAATAGTTTTGTTAGAATGTGAGGTGCATTTTGTGCTTTGTTCCTGCCATCGCTATAGTTACCACAAACACACATCTGGTTGCTATTGCTTTTGACAATGTTATCCACGATGATCTTGGTACATTTGCTTGAAATACCACAGTATTGGCTTTCAATAAAACCTTTGCAGATGCTTTAGTGCACCTGTAAATCCATAATATTTGTGTCACTTGATCTTGCTACATTGTCCAAAATGTAATTATAGCGTACCACCCGCATATTTCTGAGTGGCTTGCTTCTCATTATAATGTTATTTTTCATCATGTCTTAAACATGATGATGAAAAATAAAATAATTATTTAGGAGCGGAAAGTGTTACTTCAATAAGTCCATTTACAGATAAGAGTTATGAGGTTGTGTGACTCATGCTCACTCCCAGCATAAACACAGTGATTAGCATCTTGGCAAAATATATCGGCAACATCTATAAATGCCAGTAAAGCAGAATTTAGACCCCGACATAACCTAATGAAGCATCGGTGACATTTTTATACCCACTAGATTTGATAATAGGGTTTTTCCACTTTTTTCTAGCAAAAACACTGAAACCTTTTTACAAAGATTCATGTCTGCATTAACCACAATACCTGTAGTCAAAATACAAACAAAAAACACACTATGATAATATATGCATTGTCCTTGAAACTGATTGGTCCACACCAAGGGACGGCTTTCTTTTGAGCCACGACCCAATTGGTGCTCGACCAGATGACGCCAAAAGGCGTACAGCTCAAAGTCAATGCAGTTTCAGTTTTGTTGCCAAAAAAGGGGAAAAACCCTATTATTATATTTTGGTACTGGCAAAGGAGGTCTAATGATGTAGATGCTCACCCCGAGCTTTCATTACTTTGATAGTGCATTGTCTTTGAGCTGTACGCCTTTTGGCGTCATCTGGTCGCGCACCAATTGGGTCGAGGCTCAAAAGAAAGCCATCCCTTGGTGTGGACCAATCAGTTTCAAGGACAATGCATATATTATCATAGTGTGTTTTTTTTTTGCATTTTGACTGCAGGTATTGTGGTTAATGCAGACATGAATCCTTGTAAAAAGGTTTCAGTTTTGTTGCCAGAAAAAAGGGGAAAACCCATATTATATTTTGGTACTGGCAAAGAAGGTCTAATGATGAAACACTAGATTTGACTTTTAACAGCGTTTGATTTATCGTTGCTTTTGGAACTAACTTTTATCCCAGAATATAGGTTTTCAACTGTTACTGCTCTAAGACGTATAACAATACCAGGATGTTGTTATCTAACTTCGAGTTTTGAATAGCATTTGATTAAAAGCACTGTAGGTGTAGATCTAATCGGTGGAGGAAGTCGAGATTGGTCTTGCGCATGTCTGGGATCTTAGAGTGTATAGGGTTACACTGTGACAGGCAGCATCAGAGTGGGCACCCAGATGGTGGAAAACAAAGGGATGACCGCAGAGGTTGTATATCGATTAGCACGGTTGGCTACGTATGGCGCAAAAGAAGTTCAGCATACATACAAAAATAAGTAATTTGTACATGAGCTGTCTGATTAGCACACGTACGGGGGATTGCTTTAATACTTGACGGTTGACCAACACGTTCCGTTACAGTACAGAATTGCTAGGACATTGACACTTTTGGAGCCCGCTCTATAGAATATATTTGAAAATTATCATGAAAGCATTGAATAGCATGTACACAATTTGCGTGCACATTCTTCTATGAATAGTAATTTGCAGCTTTTATAATAGATTTTTTATTTGAATCATATGCACTTTTAATATATTGAAAGGTAAATTTACATACAGATGTGCTTCATGTATATCATGCGCACTTAATGTTTTCTTCAAGATGCAATTCCTTTGTTATGTGTTAATTTTTACTTCTTAAAGCTTGCACTTTTTTAACACTAATTATGTTACCTATTAACTTTGTGACACTCGAATAGTTTGATAGTTGCAGTCTGCGTCTCCCAAACCAATCCATTAAAAACATCCATTAGCTGAACGTTTTGTGGACATATAAATAATTAATGGAAGAATAACTGTTAATTTTGCTCACTCTACCCTTAATGAGGGTTGTGCCTTTGGTATAACTAAAATTTGCATTCGTGTGTCACTAGAGGCTAGAAGTTAATGTGTTGCTTCATATCTGCATATTGTTATACATCACATGAGAGTGCTTGTGATACGACCTGGTGAAAACTATCGCCATGATTCATTAATTTGCATAAGTATACAACTCCCATTGCATCCTCTTGAATCGGGAAGTCTGCATTCTGCATCTGAAAAATAGCAATATGGGGAAAATCCTATTTAAGTTTTGCACTACCACCACTGCCTGTTGTTCAAAAAAGTAAAACCTTAATGGCTTGAAGGTGGTTTAATTAAACACAGTGGACTGCTGTCTTGAAAGTGCTTTTTACGACACTCAACTATCACCACCGATCGTGGACCTAGTGCTGCCATTTCAACAGCGCATACTCTAGTTGTCACGTGGTGTCCACTTGGTGGATTTTCATGGCTCAGCATCGTCTGTTGTTGCCCCCCCCCCCCCCCCCCTTGAGAACGAACCCATTGCCTGCGATATCATCACTGCGTCTGACTTTGTCACGCTCTTGCGTACGTGCATTGTTCCTCTTGGCTTGTGTGTCTGCCAACAGAGCTACCCGTCGCACTCCCCCGCGGACCCCAACCTCAGCCTCCCGCCGATGGCCAGCTTTCCGCGCACAACCGGCAGCTCCACTGCATACGTGTCCAACTCCCGCACGCCGCCCGTTAACGGATCCGATTCCATGATGGGTACGCACCACTCTTGTGAGTCAAATCCTCCACGACGTGCACACGCGCACCATTTGCCTCCCTTTATTTCTATGGTCGCTGTCGTGTGTAGTACTTTTTTTTTAACTTACGTGCACGCCATTTTTCGCAGCCCTCGTGTCAGTCCTGCAAGTGCCTGGCGACATCGTACGATGTAACTTCATAGGTTATTGGCCAAATGTCCCAGTGCGCAAAGACTTACTCGCAAATTACTCGCTTAAGATTGCATTGGAACTTTGCACCCGACTGAAAACTCATTCAAGACCCTCCCGAAAATGAGTCTTGGAACTTGGTGAGGCTTCCCTGGATAAACAGTCAAAAGCAAAACCTGGCTTAAGTTTATACCTAGTACAAGCTAATGCCCAACATTGGCAATATGTGGTATCACTAGGCAATGATAATGATTTATTCTACTGCTAAAAGCACTATGATACCAGCGTTGCAGGTATCAGAAATCCTATTGATATGGGTAATAGTGTATCCGGAGCTTTTCCAAGCACTGTATTGTGCACACTTGAGAATGACGTGCATGCTTGCACATTGTAAGTTACGCTTACTACTTTCTGTTTACATACTCTCCGGTATGAATTATAATCGCCATTTAGAGCATACACTTTAACGTGTACAAAATATTATGGCCAGATTCAGCACTGCTTAATGTTGAACAGTACACTTAAATTACACAGCACTATTCGGTATAATCACAAATGTACCGCCATGTGCTCATCATATACCACATACAGCACTACAGTGAGAGCCCGACATAGATTCACAGTGTGCAGTATCATACAGACGACTTAGTGTTATCCTTGGCTTATTCACTATATCTCGGCAATGTTCCCTCTATAAACATAGCACTCGTACTCGGCGAATATTCTCATAGGAATACGAACATATGTCCAAGGGCAAGTACACAAATGCTACAAAGAATAGGGCACAGACAGCGGCTGGGTAGCTGCAGGCAAATGTGATGCCCGTGTCAGGGTACTGAGCCAGAATGTGATCTGTGATCCCGGGTTCGAGCCTCGGTGGACTAATGAAAAAAAGAGGATAATTTTCCCCATGGATACGTTATTGTGTATGGCATATTTATCACACTCGGTCAAGTCAACCCATCGTTTATTCCAGAAAAAAAGTAGCAATCGGCACTCAGAAGAAAATTAGTGCTCGCACTTACTTCGTATACATGCTCTCGTTACATAACAGGAGATAAAAAGGCAGCAAATGCATCCTATCGTCGTGAGGTGATGTGGAGATTTTCGGCTGAACAAGTCGAGATAAAAGAGTTAATTGATCTGCCACTGGCGGGGTTGGGGAGGGACACTTGCGCTGTCTTCTTGTATAGCTTCTACTTGGCCGCAAGCTGCCCGCAGAACTCTGAGCCGCAAGCGGCGTACATTGCGAAAGGAGAGGAAACAACAAATTGAGGCGTGAAATTTGCCACGTTTCCCCTCCAACGTAAACCCACGCATCGCTCGCCCAGAAGCTCTTTTTTTTGTAAACGGTTCAAGACCGGTTCGTAGGCAAGCGAACGTACACATGTGCACACACACGCAGAGGCCCAACGTAAACGCATGTCCTCGCTGGCATAACTTGCCATCGTTCTTGAATTCATTATTCAAACGCGTATGATGGTTCATGCGAGCGGTTTGGTTCTGTAAGCAGTCGTTTAATTGCTATGGCGAAAGTAACTGTTTTATTTCGAGAAGAAAACGCTCATTATGTTTCCTCTATATCGATTGGTTATGTAATCATTAACTTTTTTTAAATTGTCCTAGATTTAGCAGTTGAAGCTCTCTGACCTTTGTTTTCATAATTATTCAATCATGTTCAGTTCATTTACTTAACTTTTTAGGCGTATGTAATTTCGTGTAAATAAAGAAGTCGCATTGCGTTAATTTTCTTAAGCGAGAAGAACGCGTGCGCAATCTGATTGAAGTTTTTAACGCTCCCTTCTACATTGGCACAACGGCGTTTTCGTCATCGTGCGCCGTGCTCGCGTTTTATTTATTTTTCCTGCGTACCTGGTGCTCTTAACTGTGTACGACGGTCACGTGCGTCAAGGCATTCACTCGTAAACAAGACCACGTTAATGGTGTGAGACTGAAGTTGCTAACAGCCGCTCGCTTTGTTTCTTTGTTGTCTTGCAGCGAGTAGAGGGAACGCGGCAGGTGGATCTCAAACGGGTGACGCCCTCGGGAAGGCCTTGGCATCTGTAAGTAATCTGTCTCATTTCCTCTTTCCTCCTCCCCACCTGAAAGTACACGGGGGGTGGGGGGGGGGAAGCTTGTGAACTGAGCTGATCACCATTTAGCCAGACTCTCCGCCACCTCTTTTTCACCCTTGCCCCAGCCTTTCCATCCCCATTCCCATAAGTTCCCTAAACACACACGAACTCGTGCGCCCGCTTGCTGCGCGCGTCCATGAAAGCAGGGCGCAGGCATATCACTCGATTTACGTACGTGTATGCACCTATGTTGAACTTCTTTTGCACCGTACGTAGCCAACTGTACGCTGCAAAGGGAGGTGTGGGGGAAAGATGACAAATAAAACTCAAAAAGCAGTTTATGCGGTAGATGCGTTCACAAAAAGAAAAGGGGCGCACAAAGCGAAATCGCCATGGCGTGGGCAGCGCAGTCACACCCAACCCACAATGCACCACACGAGAGACAGCTGCCTGCCCCCTAGTGCATGCAGTACACAGACAAATAATGTTGTCCCACGCCTGACTGCATATGAGCGAATTCAAAGTGCATCCAGCCAAAATTGCATAGACCACAAACGCCCATAAAGTTGAGGGAAACGTGTACCTCATTAACAAAATATTTTTTAAAATGTGCGTGTTTTCTGTAACGTTTACGAAATGTCTTTGTTGTGATGATAATGTGACCTTCCAAGCTGCACGAAGAGTTGACGTCACACTTAATGACCACCATCTTGAGATGTCACCCCGTACGGCGGCATTTCCTTGGCCACCAAGATGAATCCTGTTCGCGCGAGTTTTTATCGCCAAGTTTTGGACAACCCTTTGATCAATTCAGTTTTCTGTAGGTCCCTGAGAGCAACAAAAATTTATGCCTCAATTTTTGTGTCATTTGGATCATCTGCATGAACGTTATTGTAACCCCGCATTACAGGCGGCCAGATGGACAGAGTTCATGCATTCAAACTTTCAACCGTAGTTGTAAAAGCGTTAAAAAGACACTCGTTCACGCATGCTCTTACAACTTCGAGAAAACACATGCACAAGCGTACACAAATGTCCTCGCGCACGAATTCACGGTCGGCGAATGTGTGCCCACACACTCGTACACACGCAAACCTAGCTTGAGCAAAAACACAACATGCGCACACACTGAGCTTTGGTTGCTACTAATCCTGTGGTCGCTGAATTGTTTCGTTAGCCATGATGGAAGCTTGCAGGCATTTCCTTTGCATTACGGGGCTTGTGGTTGCACGAGTTTAGTTACAGTGGGGGTGAGTGTGTGGTCTACATTCTCTGCAACAGGTGTGCATTCCTGAGCTCGTGGGAAGGCTGTTAATTTCATTAAACATTTCAAGTAATTTACACTGTAGAGATGAATTACTACAAATGCAAAGCTATAATTTTCACTTTTAAATGTAAACCAGTGGTTGCAGTACTGTGTGCATATTTAAATTTTGTATTTGTTTTATATATGTAAGGAAAATTATTTATGCTACTCTTCTACATTGGCCAGATGCTAGCCCGGCAACAACATTGGGTTATATATATTTGGGCACAGCAAAATCAGGCCTCGAACAAGAATCATAATCTTTCTGTCTAAAATTCACAGTCTCTATGTTAGCCTCTAAACCATTGCATCAACATGCACGTGTTAATTCACAGTGCTTGTAGTGCTTCGATTGCTGACCTGGGGAATCTCGGTACTTCGATTGCTGACCTGGGGAATCTCGACATTCGTGGCTATTGGTATACAACTTGGGCCTAAAATATGTAACAGATATAGTACAGTCAACATGACCAGTAGGAAGAGCTGAGTAAATGCGTATGTTAGATATATCACTCACTTATTTTCCTTAAATGCTTACTTTTGACTTTTCCGTCAGCACTCAAAAGACTAATCTGTGTGGTGTTGGTCAATATATTAAGATGTAAACCTTTCTACGCTGAAATTTCAATTTGCCATTCATCGATTAGCCATGAATTTAATTCTTAATTGCATTTGTATGAGTGGTCTACAAATGGTATGGTACATGTCTGCGTTCAAAAAAACATGACAGAATGCCTGCAAATGTTTTTTTCTGCAACAACAAAAAATATTAAATTGTGTCATCTGTCACGAAAACATAGACATGTCTTTCTGCCCTTTCACCAGTTATTTGCCCTCTTTTTAACGATCGCCGTGTTATCCTGCTGACATTATTTTGTTTAGAAATTATTTTTAAAAAGGCACTGGTGTTTCTTGACCAACCAAATCAAGATCAAATAGGAATTTGCTCACCGAGGTATTGAATTCACCAGTGTGTCTCTCGCTCTCTGCAACAACTGCTGTAAGCTGTAAACATTGTAAAAGGAATGTTATTAATTTGTTTCTAGTAAGTAGCCTGATGCAAGGTTCCACTAAATATACTGAGGATCCATATCTTAGCAGCCCATGGCATGGCTCAACAGCGTGGTTTTAAACCAGATGCACAATTCACCATCATACTCCTTTGCCGTCCTTCCAAGTATATTTTTGTCATATGATATGAATTTTTGTAAGTGATTTAAAGCAGATTTGTTTTGGGGCATTAAATTTGAATAGAATGTGCATTTGCTATAGATTAAAAATGGTTTATTGTTGGAAGACCGTGAGCTTTGACACATGCAAGCATATGCTCGCAAGTATATGCATGTGTAAGCGTGTATGTTGAACTTCTTTCGCACCATACCTAGCTAACCGTGTAAATCGGAGGTGCGCACTGGTGCCCATATGGGATTGACAATGATCTGCTTATTTGGCCTACGATTGTGGCTGTGATGACTAGCAATCTGCCTGTACCAATACTATTAACTTGGTTAACTGATATTCTTAGCGCTTTCGGTAAAGTCACGTTGAAGGGAAACAATAAAATAATAAAATATATATAAAACAATAAAAAAATTCACGACGTTTCGACCATAACTGATGTTGTCATAGAAACTTGTTGATGTCACCTAATAGTGATCAACATCCCTTAGTGTGTAATGCTTTTTGCCCAGTTGAGTTGTGCTCTCTAAAATGACTGCTTATCAAATATAATGCATAAAGGAATGTTTTAGTAATTATTTTACCTTATATTTGATATTGCATGCAATATATGAATAAGCTCATGACAAATGTACATTTGTAAGTATGCTAACACAGAATGTAGAGGACAAACATATTGCTATACTGAACAAATTCTTAAATGGCCATTTATCTCAACAGCCTAAAAGGCCAAATTTCGATTTAAAGCTTTCGTGACTGCAGGGATTCATCTTCTTGGTTCTTTCGGTAAAGTCACGTAGAATGGGGATAAAATAATAATAAAAATAAAAATTCTCACGACGTTTCGGAGGCAACACAAGCTTCCGTCTTCAGGTGGTGGAACACTCCTTGCCATTGATTTTTTTTCTTTTCACATTTATTCTTGTACTATGCTCACATCTGGCACAAATATTAGCACGAATCAATGTGATTAATGATAAATTTGCTGCCATTTCTGGGTTATTCCCGTAATCTGCGCCTTTGCCTGACAGATTAGCATTGATATTGGGATGCATTTACAGCTAAACTTTGGGGATACTCCCGATTATTTGTTCTCCCAATTGTGCGAGCCCAATCTGCGTGCACATTTTACAGTGAATCGTAGTAAGCGGGTACCGCAGGCATGACCAGCGGCAACGTCTCTTCCACCACTGACACGGAGAGATGTGCTCAGAAACACGACGACACGTGGGCATGATGCTGAGCTTGTCCACTCGTCTCATCTTAGTGGCGATGTTAACACATAATATAATCGCATAAACTTGTCCCGACTTTCAGGATTTACTCCCCTTATCCATGTGGGTAAAGCAACGACAGAAAAAGTGTGTGGAAAGAAAAAATATGTGAATGGAATTGGCGCTGTGGGATAATAGGAAGAGCAGGTTGGAGTTTGACCGTATTTAATAATAGTGCGTGTGTACCTTCAGCATGGCTGGATTAAAGATCCTACACCACACGTGCACTTGTACATTTTAACTGTACACTGACCGTGCGCATTATCCAATAAGAGTATACATAATGTTAGCCTTCCCTTTACTGACGCAGAATTATTTGTAAGTCAAAAAGGTTATTTGTCAATAAATCGCTTCTGGTGCGCTGTCATTGTTCTGCCCAAACATACCATGACAATTAGATTTCCACTCGTGTTACACTATTCCATAGCAATGTGTAGAAATGCCGTAGTAAAATATATGTGCGCATGGTGCACGACAAGTGCTTGTGTACATTGTGTACAAGAGAAGACTGGAGTTTTGTTAAAGGAGAACGGTTTTTATGGGAATTTTCACATGGAAACAGGATGAGGCTGAATTCATTTCCTGCCCTTTTGCTGATGCATGCTCTGGATATTAGTGCCAGTTGGCCTGGAAGTTGCCCGAATAACCTGCATAATTGTCATGGAATAATGTTTCAGCACAGCCGTTGGGGGAGGGGGGGGGCTAGAGGAGAGTTTGTGGTGTTTGTGGACCGAGGAATGTGCAGAGCTGAGGGTTTGAAGAAAAGCAAGCGAACACTTTTATAATGTGAGCTTCCTGTGACCCATTAGCAGTGAGTTCTGCGTGTTGAGTTAGTTTTTTTTTTGGTGAAGAGTTCACTACAATTAGCGAATTTTGCTGTGATTGTTTTTGTTTTAAAACCTTTTTAAATTCCTGAATGTTGCCAGAAATATAATTGTATTGATTTAAGTTACTCCTGGTATATTTTTAAATACGAATATATTTCTGTTGACTAATTATTTTGAGAAGTCCACAATAACAAGATTTTTAGACCACTTTAATTGTTTTGACATTTGTGTCGTATGTATTTCTAGTTCTCATTTTGGATGATTACAGACCGATAATTTTGGAAACCATTACAAATGTGTACTTTATGTTGTAATTTGCCAAGGCAATTCCTCAATTGCATACGCCCTATGTCATATCTAAGCTTGTGACAATTTTTGTTCATAGTTTATAACTTAACGCAG